CAAAACATACATCAAGTGGATCACGTGAATATCCCATTGTCACCATAGATAAGCACATGCAAGACATACATCAAGTGTTCTCAAATCCTTAGAGACTCAACCCGACAAGATAACTTCAAAGGGAAAACTCAATCCATTACAAGAAGTAGAGGGGGAGAAACATCATAAGATCCAACTATAATAGCAAAGCTCGCGGTACATCAAGATCATGCTGAATCAAGAACACGAGAGAGAGAGAGAGAGAGAGAGGGAGGGAGGGAGAGAGAGATCAAACACATAACTACTGGTACATACCCTCGGCCCTGAGGGTGAACTACTCCCTCCTTGTCATGGAGAGTGTCGGGATGATGAAGATGGCCACCGGTGATGGTTCCCCCCTCCGGCAGGGTGCCGGAAAGGGTCCCGATTGGATTTTGGTGGCTATAGAGGCTTGCGGCAGTGGAACTCCCGGTCTTGGTTTTGTTCTGGAAGTTTGGAGATATATAAGAGGTGTTGGCGTCAGGAACAAGTCAGGGGGTCCACGAGGCAGCCATGAGGTAGGGGGCGCGCCCAGGGAGTAGGGCACACCCTCCACTCTCATGGTGGCCTCGGGACTCTTCTGGTCCATCTCCGATGCTCCGTGGGCTTCTTCTGGTCCAAAAATAATCTCCGTAAATTTTTAGGTCAATTGGACTTCGTTTGATATTTCTTTTCTGCAATATTCAAAAACAAGGAAAAAACATAAACTGCCACTAGGCTCTAGGTTAATAGGTTAGTCCCAAAAATCATATAAAATAACATATAAATGCATATAAAACATCCAAGATGAATAAAATAATAGCATGGAACAATCAAAAATTATAGATACGTTGGAGACGTATCACTTGCCATCGACACACTCAACTTCCTGCTTCAAGGGGCCATTGACGTCGGTGTCCTTCAGTGACTGACCAGTCGGTATGCTCGAACATATCACGCTTCGCCGATGACGTGGTCATCTTTTGCCACCTCGAGCGATCTGAGATGGCCATCCAAGCACTCCTCCACACTTTCTGAGTCGCCTCAGGCATGCATATACTATCGAAAAATGACCATCACTCCCATCCAGTGCACCGACGACATGGCGATCATCATGGGCACGACCCTATCCTAACCAGTGGCACCCTTCCCGATCAAATACCTTGGCCTCCCGCTGTCAGTACGCAAGCTTCACTCTCCATATATCTTACCCCTCATTGAGAAGCTAGCTAAGAAGCTATCCACATGGTGGGCGTCTCTGCTTACCTGCGACGAAAGGCTTGCCCTCATTCGTCACGTGCTTAGAGCGATACTGATCCACCTTCTACTAGCCATGGAGATCTGCCCCTCCATCCTCAAACAAGCTATGCGTCTGATCCATGACTTCCTTTGGCACGGGCGGAAGGAGGCCAGAACCAGGAACTGCCCGGTCAACTAGCAGCGAGTGTACCGCCCGCTTGGGCTCGGCGAGCTAAGCTCGTGCCTCCCCAGAGAAGAAACAACCGCCTTGCCAGTGACGCCATCCCGTAGCATGCTTGGATCCAGGATATCCGTGGCGCCCTCGGGCTGACAGCTACCGTGGACTATGTTTGACTTATGGCACGGCCTTCGCGATGTCTCGCTTGGGCAGGAGTCTGACTTGATCCGTTGGCACTAGATTAAGAACGAAATCTACTCTGCAAAGTCCTGTTACCTGGCTCTCTTCCAAGGCTCGACTTGAGCACCCTTCTGGCAGCTAACATGGAAGAATGGTGCACCCACGGGCGTCATGTTGCTCCTATGGCTCACCGGCTTGGACAAGTGTTGGACGGGAGAGCGCCTTGCTTGCCACGGACTGCCCCACTCGTCGGTTTGCATCCTCTGTGACCAGAAACAAGAGTCCATACATCATCTCCTCGTCGGTTGAGTCCCCTCACACATTGTCTGGCATGATATCTTCTCATGCCCACCTGGTTAGCTACATACCGGAGGAAGCTCGCACCAGGACGAAAGCGGGTGCTCGAGGGCTTAGTAACATCTCACTTGCAACGTAAACTTATTCCGTCTCGGGGCTGAGCAACCCCCCTTCTCTCTGCTCCTAAGGGCATCTCCAGCCGTTCGGCTCCCCAGGGCGCCTAAATAGAGCCGCCTGGGGGCATGCCGGCGCTAATTCGGCCCCTGGAGGCGACCTAGCTCCCAGTCACGCTCCCACGCGCCGGCCCCAGGATGCGGGAAATTCAAACTTGGGCGTTCCCGCTCTCAAAAGACGTCGCAAATCCGGCGATCGGACGTAGTCTGGCGTTACAAAAAACAGAGGGGTGCCGTGCGCAACGAATCACTTGGCTTGGTCGGCTCCAGGCGTTGGCGGAGTCGGCGTGCGCGGGCTCGTCGGTGTCGGACCTGCTTCGTCGCAGGGCTGTGTCGGCGCGGCTTCGGCATTGCTGGGCGGCGATGTAGAGGCGCCGTCCGGGCTTGGCGTCCGTGTGGTCGTGGGCGTCATCGGCGTCATCGACGTTGCCGTCGGCAGCTCGTTCAGGATGAGGCCGCGCTGCACCAGGTACCACGCCTTGAGCTTCTCGTCGTTGCTTTGGAGCATGTCCGCCCCGCTCATCAGAAAAGCCATGTCGGTGTTCCTCTTCTTCGCGGCGACGTTCGTCCGGAGCAAGTCGAGCTTGATGGCGTTGTTCTTCATAAGCGACGACCACCGCGCCTTGGTCTTCTCTTCGCGTAGGACGGCCCGAGCCTGGGCGTCGGCGAGGCAATGCTCGATGGACTCCTGCACTCGCGTGGTTGCTGCGTCGGCGCTTTTCCCCTTCTTTGCCAACTTGCGGCCGTCCGGCCGTCCCTCTGACGCGCCCGGAGTCGTCGCGTCTAGCTTGTATGTCTCCTTGGCCTTCTCGAGGGCACGCCGGACTTCCGCCCACTTCTCGCACTTGTCAATGCGCTTGTAGACGTGGAGGTGCTTGAAGTCGGCGTCTTGGTTGTCGCCCCGATACATGGCGAACATACGCAGCAGCTGCGCAGAGAGACAAACAATTGGCGGGCGGCGGGTGTAGGGGACGAAGATATGCGGGCGAACGGCGTGCGTACCTGATCCTCAATGCTGGCGCCGCTCTCCGGGCGAGCCGCGACCTCCTCGACGATTCCATGCCATTTGTTGCACGCCAACTGGATACGCCCCTAATGGTTCGCCATCGCCTTGGAGCCGCGCTGCATGTACACGCCTTTGAAGTAGGGGTCGACGAGCTTCCGCTCGTCGAACTCGGCCTTGATGCGGTCCCAGTACGTGCCCAAGCTCTGGTTCGCGCCGGTGGTCGGGTCGAGGCAGACGACTTTCCATGCTTTGGCGAGGCATTCCTCCTCCTCCTCCTCGGGTTCCTGCGCGTCGTCGCCGTAGACGTAGCCGAGCTCGGCCTCCATGTCGCCGTTGAGGTCCACTACCTCGTCCTGGGTGGCGAACTCGGGAGACTCGGCGGCCGCGGTCGATCCTATCGCGATGATGTCGTCCATGTCGGCTCCCGTGTCGTCGGTGTCGCCGAGGCGCGAGAAGGGTAGTGGTCCGCGGTAGAGATGGGGCGTCGGTGTGGACGCGTAGGAGGCGGGCAGCGAGTAGTTGTATGGAGGGTACTGCACGCCGACGAAGGCGGGCGAGGGCGTGCGCGTAGCGGGGTGACCATGAGGGAAGGTCACGTTTGGGTTGAACCCGCCGTGCGTGTCGCCGTCGGCGTAGCCAGGCGACGATGAACCCCATTGAGATCCGGCGCCTTGCTGCCCTCAGGGCGCGTACTGGGCGTGGCTGACGACGGGTGGATTCATCCCCGCCTGGTCGACCGATGAGGAAGACGCCGCCGCGCGCGCCGCGTTGTCGCGGGCCTTCTTGGCTCTGGCCATGTTCCGCCTGTCGGCGGTGACCGCTTCGCGCCGCTGAACTTCCACCCTCCACTCGGCGTTCGACAGGCCCGGTGGCTTCGATGGCGGCGCCCTCGGCTTCCTCGGCTTCGGCTGGGCCACGGTTGCCGCCGCGCGCGGCATGGCGTACTTCTTCGGCGGCATAGCGTGCTTCTTCGCGGCGAGCGGGAGGGGGTTTGGCGGGAGGAAGGCGAGCGAGCGGGAGGAAGGCGAGCGAGCGGGAGAAAGGGATAGAATGGCAGGAGGAAGGCGAGCGAGCGGGAGAGATGCGAGGGAAAAACGTCAAAAAACGGCGGGAAAAGACCCTCGGGTCGCTTCCAGGGCGGGCCCACGCGCCTTTTTCGCTTGCGCCGGCTCCCCAAGCCCCCCCCAGGGCGTCGGGTTCGGCCTGGGTCCGCCGGCACCAGTTTTGGCCCGAGCCGGCGAAAAACGGGCTTCTAGGGACGCGACTGGGGCCTTTTTTTGTTGCCGGCGCGACAAAATCGCCTGGGGAGGGCCTGTTGGGGGCGCGGCTGGAGATGCTCTAAGCATCCTCGCTAGCGCCTAACCGTGTATGCTACGCGAGGATCGCTACCGTGTACCGTCTCTTCCTCTACCAATGAAATGATACGCATAACGCGTATTCACGAAAAATAATAAATCATACTGAGAATCCTAAAGCAGCATAGGGATGAATTCCATATGAATTTTGTGACCATAAAAATTTCCCCAGGGCTCTAAAATCCATATGAAATGGGGACAAAATTAGAACCGTGACAAGACACCACTTGCAAAGTTTACGACTTTACGAGAGCACACACACCATCTGCTCTGGCCGTTCTCACCCCGGATAAAAAAGTGACGCCTTTATTGAGTGGGCCGGAATCGTGTGGAGGAGGTGCGCGCACGGCGACGGCGGTGCCTTGCCGCGGCCTCCGGCGTCGCTCTCCCCCATGGTCATGGCCATGCGCCCATGCCCCCCCACGCGCGCGCTCTCGCTATCACCTCTGTCTGCGTCTCGTCTCATTCTCGCTCCTCGTTTCGGCCGCGAAAGCCAAGAAAGCTACCGCTCCCCGGCCTAGTCCCCGCTCATCCTTCTCCCCCGCGTCCCTTTCCGCGCCGACGCGGCGGCTGCCATGTGGGAGCACTTCCCGCCCCGGGCCTCCGCCGGGAGCCGCGGCCCCGCGCCGCACCACCACCACCACCGCCACCGCCACGACCAGCAGCATGTCGCGCCGCCCGACTGCCAGCAGCAGCAGCATGCCGCGCCGCACGGCGACCCCGACCCGCTCGCCTCCGTCTGGATCCGCCGCCTCCACCTCGCCCCGAGCCCGCCGCCGCCGCGCGCCAGCCACCCGCCCCCGCCGTCCACGCCGCTGCACGGCCACGACGCCGTCTCCGCCCGCAGCGCCGGGTTCGGCCCCTTCCGCTGGAGCCCGCGCCCGCCGGTCGGCGCGTGGGACGCCACCCCCGCCCCAGCCCCATGTGGCGGTGGGGGCGCCCCGCCCATGATGTCGCCGTTCTTCCGCTCCCCGCCTCAGCCGCTCCCGGCGCTCGCGGGTGCTGGGGAGTTCGCGCCCGTCAGGCCCACGATCGGGTTCCCCGGGATGCCGTCGCCGACGGTACTTGGTGTCAACCCTCACGCATCCTGGCTACCGACGGCAGCTGCAGGTATCCAACATACTCCTGATTTCCGCTGCGCGTTAACGTCAGAAATTGCTACGGTTTTGCTTTTAACCGTTTCAGCTCAATTTTTTCAAGAGTCCAGAGTTCAGAGTGGTGCCATGAGCCATTAGCTACCTCTACCTGTACACCAATTTTTTTTAGCAAAGTTTCATTCATCTGTTTAATTGATATACCTTGCCATTTTCCCTTCACAACCTACCTCCCAACTGCCTTATCCCCTCATGACGCTAGAACTTGGAAAATGTATGAAGAATCTGGATTCAAAAATTAATTGATGCTTCAAAGTTCTAACAAGTGAGTGTTCTTACATTAGAATGGCCATTTATTCCGGCAATATGGTGTGACTATTGCGTGTGTTACATGTATCCAATTCTTCTCTTTCCTTTTAGTATATAAGTAATAGTTCCACGGGGGCAAAGAAACCCCGCGCATCCCGTGATGAAACTATTGTTTCTGGGTAGCTCTTCGTTTGATCTATATAGATCATGTTTATCAGTATATAGATAGATCATAGACATAGACAGTAGACACCATGTACAAGATATTTTATGTCTGACAATTTCCAAGAAAAACACACTTGGATTTATTGCATGTGCTCCACTGACCATCATTATCCATTCTGGGGTCGCCACACGTACTGTTGGTTTTCCCCTGGGTCTTAATTGAACTGCGATGATGAAATTTCTCTTTGTGTAGGTCCAGCCTATCCTAACCATGATGTGGGCATGATTCCCGTAAGAACTTCTCATGTAAGATTTTTTAGATACATTTCCTTCATTACATGGGAACATGCATATTTATGGGTGACAGGGGTTGGTTGCTCTGCTGCTTTTAGAGGCAGTCTTGCAACAATATATTTTTGGAAAGTTGCAACAACAAATAATGATTGCTACTAGGGGAAATTGATATGTTATTATATTTATGGGCAATGTGGTTTGGTTATTCAGCTGGTTTTAGAGAGATTCTCATGACAGCAGATAATGATTCTTAATAGGGAAAATTAAATATGTTAACTTCTACTGGTTTGAGAGTTGCTGAATCAAATGATTCCACAGTTTGGGAGGTTAAAATCATACTTCGGGGTTGAAAATTTGACCTTTCTAATTTGGAACTGAATAACTACAAGATGAGTTTGAAAAACTGCATAAATGGCCTTGCGGGATACCATTTAAGTCAATGTCCTGAAATTCATTGTTGTACCAGTACCACACAATGAAAGCAAGCTATGTGTATGATAACTCTGATTGGGGCGGTGGAGTTGCGGGTAGATTCCACCCACCAGGGTTAAAAAATGTTCAAAAATCCTGGTGCTCACATGTACACAGACGGGTGCGCTTCAGAATGAATTCATTGAGGTTCTTGGATTCATCTATAGTCTACGCCAATTGCAGGCGTGTGTTACGAGGCCACACTTGCACTGTTGTATGCGTTTAGAAATCGTGAGCTGTTTGTAGGTAAGTGTAGATATAGTTAGAATAAACATCAAACTCATTCCAGAGACCAGGCTAGTATTCTACAACCTATATGGCCTTGATTCCTGAGTTCTTAGGAAGGGATGAAGAGTCGCACGTGATCTTGGATGAGTGACGTCAACGAATAACTAGTGCGATTATGTTGAGTGGTTCATGGGGTAGATGAGAATCTCAGTATACAGATAAAATAATAGGTCCATACTTCCAGTTTTGGCATGTACCAAAAGATATTTTGGTTCTGAATTTTGTAACGATTCTTTTATCAGGGAAACACTTGTAGTAAACTTGAATTACCTAGCTTATCAGTCCCTGGCCCCTCCCAATTCTTAGTCACAATCTTGCATATTCCTAACTAGTGCACAACTGCTAAGCTGTATCTTCAAGAGGCTTTTCGTGTGATGGTGCAGAAAACTTCACTAGCAACAATACAGAAAATTTCCATTTTGTTGATGGTTCATAAACCACGAATCATCCTTGTTAGCTGCATTACTGTTCATTATTGTTCCTAGCTGGAGGAGTGACAATATCTGCTAGCTGCTGATGATCGTATAGTAGTTGTGAGATCTGGTTACCAACTCTGCTCTGCTCCTGGATCACATTGTTTCATTGCTAGTTACATAAAGAGTAGGAGGGGATTTATCACAAACAAGAACTGTGGATTCCAGCGACTGTACTGCTAAGGAATGAGTAGCTAGCTGATAAAGACCCAGGACTGAATTCACTGTCTTGATATGGTATGGATATCTGTTACTAAGAAACTGACCCTTCATTTCTTGCAGGATCTCCATGTTAGACAACACAGCATGATCCCACAAAATTTCGCAAGGCGCGCCCCTAGTTCCAGCAGCGAAAACGACGAGCCTTTCTCCTATTGGAACATGGGGAGGTTCCAGAGAAGCACCACGACTTCGTCGATCTCTCAGGTTGCTGTTGAGCCTGGCAATTTTATGAAGAAGAGAAATGCAGACTCCAACAGCTTGCTCCCTCTCAAGTTCAGAAAGCTGAGTGGGGCTGGATAAAACCGCACCTTGGCGCCACGGGTTCTCCGTGCTCGGGGAGAAGCATACACATGCACTTGTCACGCGGCAGTGCTTCGCCACGTAATGGCTCAAGCAGATGTCACCATTTGGTGGCTATCATGTAAAGTAAAGTAAGTTTTGCTCCAAAAACGTCGCATGGTATCCTTTGAGACATCGATACGTCTGGTGTCAGATCTCAGCGGTGCTTACCGCTGACATGCATGCGTGTTTTTTGAATTCGGGGCTATATACAGGGTGGTGTGATGCGCTCTCGCGCTGCTCGTATACCTCAAAATAATGTCTCGCGTACTGATGAAAGAAATGAATAAATTTGCCATGAGAAGGCTTTATGTGTTCTTTTTGTTGCCTTCACTGTATTTTACTGTTGAGCCGGTGTGCTTGCAATTGTTTACCTAACTTTTGCTGTGGAATGTGTACTATTCCAGCAAGATTTTGTGGCTAAATCTCATAGTACATACTCCCAATCTTAATAAGCAGGCGGTGTTTTGTGTATTATTGGGAGCGGGCGGCGTTCTAAATTAAAAAATAAATGAAAAAAAATCATAACATTTTGAACTTTTGGACATCCAAGATCCTTGGTGCGCCAGGAGCGTGCAAATGTGCATGAAGAAATAATGACACAATGTGTCAGTGACAACATAGGTTGGATGGCAACATTACCACCACATATTCAGAAACATTGCATCGATAAATTCACATGTGTCACCAAGTTCACCATTCTTTTCAAGAGAATAACATGTAACACGTGCCGCAGCAGACTAGTCGAGGCAGCACAACAAATCGGGCGAGGAAGCTACATACAGCAGAAAAGATACCAACCAAAACAAATCTAATAACACGAACGAAGAACATGCGCTATAACTGCACTACCAACAGGGAAACACTTTCTTTCTTTAGTAGTCCTGTCGAAGCGAATGCTCCTCTTCTAGCTACTGCCTATTGACTGATCTTGCAGCCCCGGACATAGGAGTGCTCGTAGTTGATGTACTGCATCCAGTAAGGCCGGTACTTGGTCATCGCAATCTCCAGCCACGGCTTCATGTTCCCGTTGTAGTGGATGACGGCGGCGGTGTCGATCTCCGCGTGCTCGACCGTCGGGTTGTACCCTAACCCAAGCACATGCCATGATTTGTCCAGGGGGTGCGTCAGCTTGTAGAAAGTCATCAGGCCTGGCGGGAGCGTCCCCAGTTTCCACAGCAGCCTGTTTTCATTCTGTGAAAAGAGCAAGGCAAAGAAACAGGAGGTGTCAAGACTTGGGATTCAGCAACATGTATTCATGCTTTCACCTATACATCTCAGGAAGAGAAGAAACATATGGTTTCAATTCTAGTTTCAGAAACCCAAAACTACGGTGGCAGATCCTACACTTGCTACCAATGAATTATTATGAGGCACTGCAAGACAGTGCAGAAAACAGTTGACGGACAGAAGAGTGGGCACAGTAAAAGTAATTTAAAAATCATTTGAGCTATCTCCAACTCACCATGTTCTGCCACTTATGGTAAATTCCAGTAATGTCCTTCTTCTTCCACTCCTCCAGATCAAATATATTCATTCCATAAGCCCAACCACATGCGTTAGGATCAAAATTCTGCGAAATATTTGGGTTCGAGAAATTGAGGTACTTGTCAAATCGGTGGAAGCTCTCCCCGCACGTTTCCACAGCACCATTTACATTCCCATTAAGATCAACCTCCCACAGTCCGGTCAAGTCCTTCTGGACCACAATGTCGTCATCGAGGAAAAGGATTTTATTCAACTTAGGATAGACTTGTGGCAGGTAAAATCTTAGATGGTTGAGCATGGACAGATATTTTGGGTTTCGGTACTTCAGATTAGAGGACCCAGCAGAGAGAGTTTTTTGACGATCTGCCTTAAAGTAGTACTCTTTCATGGCTGCAGACTCGAGCTGCTTCAAAACAGGGCAGTACGAAGAGTTCAACCATTTGAAGTCATCCACATTTTCAACATGGATTGTGGCATCCCCAGGTGGATTCAACAAGAACCACATGTTCATTGCCCCAAAGTTCAGTTTGTCAGTAACAAGATGAAAGACATGCTTCTCAGGCTCCTGCAGTTTTTTAAGCAAGAAAATCAGGAGTTGCTACTGAATTGGATCATACATCATTACGAAGAAACTGAATTTCCAAATCAAAGTCCGGACTGCACTAACCTTTGCGTTCACGATGGTTGAGTTAACCACAACTGATGCTGCCAGAACATTGTCCGAAAAAAGAGCATAGTGATAAAGATCAGGATCTTCCAAATTCTCACTATTAGGGAACTTTCTTTTCTCTGGAGAGAGAAGGTAATAGTCTATTGTTAAGCGCATGGACAAGCAATGTATGCCATTCGGTATTGTCTTAGCTGCCAACTGACTGAGGAAGGTGCTCTGCTTCTTTAAGCTCCGGACCTGCTCATCAGCTGACTGAAGCATTGATCTTAAACGATGGGTAATTTCCTTGCAATCGTACAATTGATCCCTTGCTTCTGATAAAACTAGACCCATCGCTTTTGCTCTCTCAGAAGCACTTCAAATCAAAGAAAAAAGAAATGAGTAGTGCAGGAAAATTTGGCTAAAAGTACAGTTCCGAGCCTAAAAAGTAAATACCTCTTAGGGAGATCAGAATCAGCAGTAGCTTCCCCAAGGGAGCGCTGGCTTTCCTTGATCCTGGCGAGTAGCTCCCGATAAAGATCGAGCTTGTCCCTGGATTTGGCAAGCACGGAATATATTCTAGCCATGATCATTTGGTCCCGCATCAGACGGACATTTGCATCCGCCTTCTCGTTTTCATTTTCGCGTCTCCATAGACTATATTTTCCCAGCACAGCAGAATCAACTGCTTTTGAACGCTCAAAACCTGCATTCTCAAGTTTAACCAGGGCTTCATCATCCTGCTGTACTGTTTCCATCTTTATTACACCGGTCCTCTCCCCCAATTTCTATACAAGGAAATATAAAACATGAACAGAGGGAACAGGTATAAGATTTCATTTCAAAATGAGATGTCGTGCAAACAAGAAGCTATATGATTGACCACATCTGAAAATCACAAAATAAGCACAGCAGTAATTATCCTACTTAAATTGCAAGGGTGTTTGTTCATCTAAAAAACCGCAAGGGTTTGGCAACGAAGATAAAAAATGTTACCCTGCGAGTCACATCTCGTGACCTGCTTAGGAGCTGAAGATTATCTGCATTAACAAATAAAATCCCCTTTATTAAATGTGCTGCTGCTCTGAGAAGACACAGTAGTATGCAATACAATCTTTTCCTCATTACTAACCCTCTCGATTCAGGGAGAAATTCTGCGGTTTAATCTTGGGTTCCCTGCTCCAGTCCGGCACCTACCATCGCAGGAACAATCAGCATAAGCACATATACTTCCGTAACACCAAGGAAAAAAAATGAGGCAGGGTGATATTGTGCTAACCAGTTGGCCAGAATAAATCGGGTCCATTCGAGCTGCACAAAGCAGAAGCACTTGCATCAGAATGACCCAAGGATACAGGATCCCGAGCAAACAGAAGAGGAAATTGCAATGTGGGTCAGTCAATAAACTTGCTCAAGTTTACCAAGTAGCTAGGTCACCGCTATCCTAATTCGCGCATCTGAGTGGCCGAACTGGATCGGGCGCCTCAATCACCGCATATCAGCATATCGACTACCATGCCACATCAACTCCACAGTACACTTTGCAGTTAAATCTAAATACACGCTGAATCTATCCACAGGTTCCATATCAAGATCGTACTTACTCATCAAGAACAAAAGGGCTGGTCACTGCATCTACCACAGTTGTAAGTTCTAACCCCAATTGCCCTAGGTTGACGGTTCAAGAGCAGTTGGGACACTGCACTGGCAGCACGAGGGACGCCAGCAGCAGCAGCAGGCCTCCGCCACGCCCGCGACCGCGGATCTTAATCTGACCAGAATTACCCTAGATTGACAGTTCACGAGCAGTTGCCACTGACAGCACGGGAGCCGCCTCGCAGCAAGCCTCCGCCGCAGCGGCGACCGCGGATCTTAATCTGATCTACACGGGCGACTTCCGGGAGAGCGGGGTGGGGAGGAAGAAGAGCTCCTCACCTCCGGCGGCGGCGGCGGCGGCGAGGAGGAGGAGGCAGAGCGCCGCCAGGGAGGCCGCGCGCGCCATTTGCCAGGCCCGATCCGGCGAGAGCGAGCACGCGAGCGCGGGGCCACGGAAGATCGATCGCCGCTTCCCCGCCGCTGCTAATGGCGGTGGATCATCGTGTCTCGGCTGGAAAAAAGGTCGGTGTTTTTCGTGCGATGCGGTGGAGCGAGCGCAGGACGGTGGCGGAGAGGAACAAAGCCGTCGTGTGGGCCCAAAGCGAAAGGCCCGACAGTGGTGGACTTTGTTTCTTTTTTTGCGGAAAAGCAGGAAGATGGTAGGCGGGCCAGAGGATCGTCGGCTCGCTGTCCAAGGCCTGGAGAGAGGGTTATTGGGCTGGGGGAACTATGGCAGAAATGCGAGGAATGTGCATTTTCTCAAAAAAAAAAACGAAGTGAGGAATTGCATCTTTGTATTTCACTTTGCTTGCTCTAAAAAAATCACTTTGCGCATTGTATCCTTAAGTTAAAAAAGGGAACACCCTATCAAAAAAAAGTTGAAAAAAAGGAACATAGCGTCCCCGTTCCCTAATTCTAGATGTCTCCTCAACACCGCCGCCTTGTCCCCCTCCTCACTCATCTCACTGGCGGCTTGAGAAGTGGGGATCTCC